GTTCACAGAAGTAGCCTGTAATTGTAATCGTTGGGCTATATCTTTGGTGTGTGGTTCACAGAAGTAGCCTGTAATTGTAATCGTTGGGCTATATCTTTGGTGTGTGGTTCACAGAAGTAGCCTGTAATTGTAATCGTTGGGCTATATCTTTGGTGTGTGGTTCACAGAAGTAGCCTGTAATTGTAATCGTTGGGCTATATCTTTGGTGTGTGGTTCACAGAAGTAGCCTGTAATTGTAATCGTTGGGCTATATCTTTGGTGTGTGGTTCACAGAAGTAGCCTGTAATTGTAATCGTTGGGCTATATCTTTGGTGTGTGGTTCACAGAAGTAGCCTGTAATTGTAATCGTTGGGCTATATCTTTGGTGTGTGGTTCACAGAAGTAGCCTGTAATTGTAATCGTTGGGCTATATCTTTGGTGTGTGGTTTACAGAAGTAGCCTGTAATTGTAATCGTTGGGCTATATCTTTGGTGTGTGGTTCACAGAAGTAGCCTGTAATTGTAATCGTTGGGCTATATCTTTGGTGTGTGGTTCACAGAAGTAGCCTGTAATTGTAATCGTTGGGCTATATCTTTGGTGTGTGGTTCACAGAAGTAGCCTGTAATTGTAATCGTTGGGCTATATCTTTGGTGTGTGGTTCACAGAAGTAGCCTGTAATTGTAATCGTTGGGCTATATCTTTGGTGTGTGGTTCACAGAAGTAGCCTGTAATTGTAATCGTTGGGCTATATCTTTGGTGTGTGGTTCACAGAAGTAGCCTGTAATTGTAATCGTTGGGCTATATCTTTGGTGTGTGGTTCACAGAAGTAGCCTGTAATTGTAATCGTTGGGCTATATCTTTGGTGTGTGGTTCACAGAAGTAGCCTGTAATTGTAATCGTTGGGCTATATCTTTGGTGTGTGGTTCACAGAAGTAGCCTGTAATTGTAATCGTTGGGCTATATCTTTGGTATGTGGTTCACAGAAGTAGCCTGTAATTGTAATCGTTGGGCTATATCTCTGGTGTGTGGTTTACAGAAGTAGCCTGTAATTGTAATCGTTGGGCTATATCTTTGCTGTGTGGTTTACAGAAGTCTGAAGCCAGTAGTAGTGTTCTATTGATTCTCTCCAAATCTAATCTACATGTTTATGTTGGATTTATGAGTTATGCCATGATGTATTAAATGTACACAGACCATAAATACGATGGAGGTCAGAAATCCTAACCACCATGGCCACTGGCAGAGACACCATTGGTTGACACTCAGGGCCTGCTAGTATTTATCTTGTTTTATTGCACACTGAGATTGATTATGGGTGTTTGTCTGGTTTTTTTTTTAGATTTTGTACTGTGTACATTGTATGTGTAACTTCTGCCTGATTGAGTAGACAGTTACACCCATATCAGGAAAAATTGATGACTCAAAAAGGGGTAATTTGGCCATAATTTTATATGCTTTTTTATTGCTTTAAGAGACTGCTTCTCTGAAACAAGTTAATGGATATCAACTATATTTGTTTGGAAGCATGTACTAGTTTAAGGGCTGAGGGGCGGGGCCAAAAAAGAATTATCAACTTTGACATTAGCAAGATCCCTTACCTATAACCATGTATAAAAATGCTGTCAGCATCAAGAAACAAACACAATCATAATATAATAATTGACTCAGGGGTCTGGCCCCACCCCTAGGGACTTAATTCCTGAGCCATAACTATGACTAGTTGAGACCCCCACCCCATAACCATATATACCATATTGCTGGGCATCAAGAGACAAACACAATCATAATATAGGAATTGCTGGTGGGGTCTGGCTCCACTCCTAGGGACTTAATTCCTGAGCCATAACTATGACTAGTTGAGATCCCCACCCCATAACCATATATACCATATTGCTGGGCATCAAGAGACAAACACAATCATGATATAGGAATTGCTGGTGGGGTCTTGCCCTACCCCTGAATTGGGACTGAATTCTTGCATTAGAACTTTGAAACGGTTGAGATCACCATGTCATAACCATATATATATATATATATATATATAATAAAAAGTGATTAAATGTCCATGTGAAGGAAGTAAATATAGAAAAAATAAAATTAACGACCGATTTTAGTCGGTCGTTAATTTTATTTTTTCTATATATATATATATATATATATAAAATATATATTATTGCAGCAGAAAAATGATTCCTACGGACGAAGAAATAATAAAAAAAGAACAAATCTCAACAACACGTATTCAGTGCTTTCATCTCTTTAGGGAGATTCTTCAAAATTGTTTATTTGTAGCAGATATTATGACGTCATATATTTATATATCAATGCTGGGCATCAAGAGACAGGCACAATCATGCTACTATAATTGACTCTTGGGTCAGTGGCCCCACCCTTGAAGAGTTAGTCCCTGGGCCTGCATCCTTTGAAATGGTTGAGATCCCCACCCCTTAAGCATTAACCCATAGCCATGTATACCATTGCTTGGCATAAAGATCCAGGTGATCAGTGACAGCGATATTGTTTTATATTGCATGGAAAATTGCTTTGCAAGTGTATCACATTGGGTAAGCTAGGGTGTATGGAAATAAGTACTTTTGTCAGAAAAAGACAAAATCTGATATGTACATGATTTGAATTAACAAATCTCCTAAGATATATGTTTATGGTATCCCAATGAATTGTTCTTAGATAAATATATACCAATGAACTCCTAAAGATGCATGTAACCCGATGAATATCGAAGGATATATACTAGTACGTCCAATAAATTTGTTCAAAGTATCTGGTATACTTCTGATAGTTACATTTCTTAGGATATATATATATATATGTCCATACTTTCCAATAAGAGTACCTGGTTACAGGTACAAATGTATTTTGTGCCATATTCAGATAAATTTCTTAAGATATACATATATATGTATTATCCCAATAAATTTCTTCAGATATAATTAATGTCTCAGTAAGAATTTTTGTGAAGATATAGTTAATGTCTCTCAGTAAGAAGTTCTTAGAAATATGTGTGTCCCATTGAATTTCTTAGATGTTTTGTATCTCAATACAGTTATTTAGTTATGAAATGATCACAATGAATTTCTTGCATCAAAATCATTATTATTCCTGGCTGAATTTTTGTTATTCTAGTATTTCATGTTTTTTGTTATCACTTTTAGTTGATGATCTTTCTTCCATGTTGGGATAAAACTGTGAAACTAAGTCAGCATTGGGTGCTTTAAATACTATATCTGAGCATTGGTCTCTCCACACATTGATATAAGTCAGCATTGGGTGCTTTAAATACTATATCTGAGCATCGGTCTCTCCACACATTGATATAAGCAGTATTTATCAAACCTTATCAATATATTAATCAAGTCTGCTAGCCATATCAATCAATATATCAATTCAGTCTGCTATGGCCCTATCAAACAATTGTCTATAAAAAATGTTTTTACATTGTATCTTACAAAAGTATCAACCTTTATCACATCCTAAGAACTACTATGTATTAAAGATAGCAATCAAGTTATGCCAGTGAATATATGTATTGTAAGTTAATTGGAGTTTATTAATTATGGTAAATATTCAGTCTACATCAGTGTTATGACTAATGATTGTTTCTATTGTATTATATTAGTCACCTCAAGTTTGGCATATTGTAAGGAATTCTGTTTTGAATAAAATTCCAGGGTAAATGCCTGAAGGTTTAGGTATGAATTTGTACACCTATTACAGCTTGGTAAAAATAGTGTTTTGTACATAGACAAAAACACAATGCATTGGAAGTACATGGAATTTACTAAAGGCAGAGAAATTCTGTGAATGGTGAATAGAATTTGTTTTTGTTGATTTGATCAAAGAGCTGATGTGGGTTACACTGGACTGGTTTGTACATGAACAAAGTGTGCTTTGACATAGATCCAGGTGAGTTTGCTGTAAAGACCTATTGTTGTACCAGATTGTAAATTTTGGGTCATTATTTAATGGTGTAAGAGCGAGTGAAGGGATTTAACCTGATCAGATTGTTAGTTTTAAATCTGGGTCATTATGATAGTAAATGGGAGTAACCTTAAATCAGCCAGAGCATTAGTCTCACCAGTATTCATTTTCTGTAATTGTGCAGTGACAATTCACCAGTCACGCTGGATCAGACATGATTGTCACCAAGTCATTCACACAGCCATCAGCTGACTGCATGTACACAGGGCTGCATTGTGCTCGAATGTGTAGCATTTTATGAATGAACAACACATGTGTGTGATTCCAGTGGAGAGGTTATAATGTACATGCTGAGTACAGTACACCTAACGTATTGGTTCAGTGAGTCTCTTCATATTTAGTATGTGTTGGGAAAGTGCTGGAAATGTCTGCAGAAGTAGAGACAATAACTGATATCAAAGGCTACTTAAAGGTATCATGTATTAGCCTGTACATGTAGTCCTGTAAAACTTGTTTTAGTTAGTGTTACAGAAAATATCTGTAGTAGATACATCTCTGATTCAACCATATGTTTGTAATAAGGTAAGTTGTGGCCGAGTAAGTTGAAATTTAGACTTACCTTGGTATACTAGCATTTTGTCTTCCAAATAACAACAATACATGATTAAGATTGACAGTGACAAAATACACACATTCTATAAAATACATAATTTTGTGTAATACTATACATGATGTTCAGTTTTTAGCACCTGACTGTATATCAGTACACACATATTTGCAAATCCTTTCTAGGAAATTCATTATTGTGTTAGAAGTATGTACTTGTATCACAGAAACATTTGTAAAAGGACATCTTATAAGTGACAAAGAGGAAGCAAAATTAATATATTCTGAGCTTTTAAGGTTTCATGTGGATATACTTGACAGGTACTGTCTGCAGACAGTTACTATATATTTGACAGGTAAAGTTTATATTTGACAGTACAGTTTATATTTGACAGGTAAAGTTTATATTTGACAGTACAGTTTATATTTGACAGGTACAGTTTTATATTTGACAGGTACGGTTTTATATTTGACAGGTGTTCAAAGTGTAACAGGTGTCTGTCCAGCTGGTATTTTGAGAGGAATGGCAGACTATACTGCAAACAGGACTACTGGACCCTGTTTGGGGATGCTTGCAACAAGTGTACAGAGACAATCACCGGCCCCGTCATGGTCAGTTTCACACCATTAAGTAAATCAGGAGGACTATTATAGAGTAAACAAAGAATTCATTTTGAAGTCAACTTTTGTGTAATGATGCATCATTCCAATATCAGCATGTATGTTGTACATGTATGTTGTACATGTATGTGAAGTTGTATTTTGACATTAACCAGTGCCCATACACAGTTCTAACGGGAGTCATTTTGTACAAGTGAAATAAAATAACTATCAGACTAAAAAACAGGTTAACAACTGTCAGACTTAGGATTATCTTTATCTCTTTTATGTCAGATATGGGGAGATTATAGCTGAGGACAGATCAGTGTAACATTTATTATTACTGGTAAACTAACACAAAAACTGATAAGATATATGTCAGACTTACACAGGTAAAACTGACACAGGTAAGATATATGTAAGACTTACACAGGTAAAACTGACACAGGTAAGATATATGTCAGACTTACACAGGTAAAACTGACACAGGTAATATAAGATATATGTCAGACTTACACAGGTAAATCTGACACAGGTAAGATATATGTCGAGACTTACACAGGTAAAACTGACACAGGTAATATAAGATATATGTCAGACTTACACAGGTAAAACTGACACAGATAAGATATATGTCGAGACTTACACAGGTAAAACTGACACAGGTAAGATATATATCAAACTTACACAGGTAAAACTGACACAGGTAATATAAGATATATGTCAGAATTACACAGGTAAAACTGACACAGGTAAGATATATGTAAGACTTGCACAGGTAAAACTGACACAGGTAAGATATATGTAAGACTTACACAGGTAAAATTGACACAGGTAAGATATATATGTAAGACTTAAACAAATAAAACTGACACAGGTAAGATATATGTCAGACTTACACAGGTAAAATTTACAAAAATGAAAATGGCAGATAAAAATCATTAAATCATCAAACCAATAAGTAATAGCCAATCAGCATTCCAGTAAAATGTGTATATTGTACAGATTTGTACGCATGTTTCCTGTCCTTCTGAAGCACAAATAATTGATGGATGGATAGTAAATCATCAAATTTTCGCAAGATATGCTACCCCTGTCAGCCCCCTCGTTTAAATGATCTTGATGTATTGACAATTACTGATAGCCCAAAAATTTGAGACCTGCATGGTCACCAATAAGACCAAACCCTTTTTTATGCTGTACAGACCTACTTGGTGGTAAACAACATTGGCACTGCCAATATCTCTCATTATAGCTCTGATGGGAATTATTTCCAGCCTAACTTTGATCTGTTGGTGAAAAGAAGGTATGACCAGGACATTTTACACACGAGTCTGGAACTATTCCAGATATCAATGTCAGTCTATGTACATTTGTAAACACTAGGCCCAAGCAGCAACACTTTGCTTGGTTTGGAAACATGTGGTAATAATTGTATCACTTGAGGATTTCCTGTTGGTATAACATTAAATGTTAATGACCCTCTTATTGAGTTGTAGGCATTCACTGTACTAAAACACACTTGAAAGTGCTTTATATAGAGTTGGATGTGTCACAAAGTGCTGCTGGATTTCTCTGAACATGGTTTTCTTTCAATGCATTTAGTACTTATATTCAAATTCCTCTATCAGGTTCCAAGATCAGCGATTTCTACAGATAGTTATTGAGGAAGCTGCATTCTGATTGGCTGACTGCTATCTGCATATCTCCTGAAGGAATCACCTAAGTTTGATCGAACTTGCTTTGTATGCTATCGTGATCCCAGTTTTTTCACTGGGTTTTGATGTTTGGCATATTCCACACATATTTAATAAGTCTTCTGCAATCTGATTGGTTGATTGGTTTCCACACAATATCTTATGATAGATCGGTTGGATTTTGATTTAACTTGCTCAAGGTATACTAATTATCTAAGATTCTCACTGGAGTTTGATGTTTGACATGTTCCATGCATATTAAATGAAGTTTCTGCATTCTGATTGGTTGATTGCTTTCAGCGCACTATTTTCTGACTGGATTTTTATTAAGCTTGCTCTGTATACTCGTTATCTAAGATTTTCACTGGAGTTTGATGTTTGACATGTTCCATGCATATTAAATGAGGTTTCTGCATTCTGATTGTTTGATTGCTTTCAGCGCACTATTTTCTGACTGGATTTTTATTAAGCTTGCTTCGTATACTACTTAATAATCATAATAATAGTCGTTATTTCAGCTTGATGACGTATTGAGTCCAAGACTCGTCTTACATATGGTCAAGTATGATAAAACGTACCCTATTTACAACTTACTGATCAAGTCCCACCAGTTCCATCTGATTGGCTGACACATTTATGATGTATTACATTTTGTTCATAATAAGTCTTCTTCTTCCAAGGTGTAAACGAGAATAGTCTGAAGTTAATTATCACAGTTTTTGTTGCCTTGGAGGTTGAGTGTTGAGGTTATGTGAAGATTCAAGTCCATAACTTCAGAGGTCTAGATCACAGATGAAATAACAGTGATATATCCGGGCTATGCTAGAACTCTAAGAACTTTAATTTGGGAAAGAAATTTAGTTTTGAGTTCCATAAAACATCATCCTGTTATTTGGCCTCCAGCTAAATAAGGGTCTATCATTTACTTACAGGTTGCAGGGGAGCATAAGTATCACCCAGAATGTTTTGTATGCTTCAACTGTGGGAGCTTTATTGGAGATGGGGAGACTTACGCACTGGTGGAACGATCCAAGTTGTTCTGGTATGTCTGTAACATGATTCATTTCAACTTACTATAACATGTTATCATATATTTGTCGTTGATATTGCTTGTTTTGCATAATTTTTTGACACTGCTAGCTGTGCTGCTAGGCCATATCCCGGACCAACCCATATCTGCCAAGCACACGCCATACTGTATAACCTGAAATGTTTGTTGTGTATAAACTTTCATTGTTTTCGTGGTTGCTATGGAACCACAAATATTAATACAACAAATGTTTCTACATATTGAAAGAAGTAACACAACGAAAATGTGAAAGTTATATGGACTGTGTTTCAATCAAAAATGTGCACACAAATGTATATATCATGGTTTTGGACCAATGATTCTCGCAATGCAATGAATTAACTCCCTTGTGTTGTGGACAGACCACGAAAGTTTATAGATTTCATTATACATGGTGAAAAAATAATTGTTCCGTATGTTTTATGTGTTAGTGCTAGAAATCCTGATGTCATAGAGCAGTGTATGATTCAAAGCTTAATGTAGGACCATTTCAATTTCCTACTCCATGTTAGCTGAGACTCCCATCAGCCCGAGGGCTTATAAAGGTCGAGGGCTGATACTTAGTAGGATATGGAAATGGTCATATTATAACCTCTAATTGTTCAACAGCTGCTTCCTATCTGATTGACCTGCTTTTCATTTCATTTGGTACTGGAACATTTTACAATATTATTGTCGCTTTTTTAAAAGTAAATTCTCAGTATTGTCCAGTTGTTGATATGAAAGTGTAGAAGTTGAAGTTGTGTACATATGTTTCCAGTGGGAAGTGCTACAAAGCTGTGATGTCACCCCTGGGGGAAAGTCCAGGGAGGAGGAAGACCCACTGTATTCAGTTGGTAGAGATTCCCCCTACCCCCAAGGCAGAAAGTCATGGCCTACAGTACTCGGTGGAGAAACGCATGTCCAGCCTCAGTCCCCGGGCCAGGGAGAGTCTGTCTGTATCACCTATGATAAAAATCACAGAGTAAGTTCACCATCCTCTGTCTGTATCACCTAATAAAAATCACAGAGTAACTTCACCATCCTCAATCACCGGGCGAGGGAGAGTCTGTCTGTGTCAGGTATGATGAATATCACCAAGTTAGTCTCCAGCCCTCAGTCCCTGGGTCAAGGAAAGCCTGTCTGTATCATCTGAATCACTTACAATAAAAATCACCAACTTAGTCTCCAGCCCTCAGTTCCTTGGTCAGGGGGAGTCTGTCTGTATCAGGTATGATAAATATCACAGAGTTAGTGTCCAGCCCTCCGTCTCCTGGCCAGGGAGAGTCTGTCTGTATCAGGTATGATAAATATCACAGAGTTAGTCTCCAGCCCTCCGTCTCCAGGCCAGGGGGAGCCTGTCTGTATCAGGTATGATAATATCACAGAGTTAGTCTCCAGCCCTCCGTCTCCAGGCCAGGGAAAGCCTGTCTGTATCACTTACAATAAAAATCACCAACTTAGTCTCCAGCCCTCAGTTCCTTGGTCAGGGGGAGTCTGTCTGTATCAGGTATGATAAATATCACAGAGTTAGTCTCCAGCCCTTTGTGTCCAGGCCAGGGGGAGCCTGTCTGTATCAGGTATGATAAATATCACAGAGTTAGTCTCCAGCCCTCAGTCCCCAGGCCAGGGAGAGCCTGTCTGTATCAGGTATGATAAAAATCACCAACTTAGTCTCTAGTCTTTAGTCCATGGGCCAGGGAGAGTTATAATCCATTCTCGATTATAGGCAAAGGTAATAACCACCTTTAAGATAAATCACAAAAACTGCAATTGGAACAATAATTTTTAGTTTGTTTGATGAATTGTGTAAAAATGAATTTGTGGCAAATATATATCTGAGTTCCAGCTCCAGATAGACTTAATTTATATAAAGGTGTTTGTGTTGTTTGTACCAGTCTGGACCAGAGCCCTGAGTTGGAATCCCTACAGATAGGTGATAGGATTCTAGAAGTAAACGGTCTCAGTGTCCGTGACAGTTCCCTGGAGGAGGTAAGTTACATAGATTCAAGTAACAGATGCAGCTAACCTGAACAAATTCCCGGCATCATTTATTAATTGATAAAAATGATCACATCACAACTTATTTTATGTTTTAACGTACTGTGCCGCTAACTTTGCTCTTTTATCTGTTCAACAGGATAAATCTGGCATTTCTTATTTTTCTTTCATAGCAAAAGTTATTAAATTTCTGTTAATACTACATTCAGGAAATGAAAAAAAAAAGAAAAACATCAATATTTGCTGTAAGAATTCAATATTTTACATAATGCTAAGCATAAGCAGACACGTACGATGTAATGATGTTGCCCATGCTAAAATGTGGTCGACCAAACAGACAGAATCGGTGAGTAAAAGGTACAAGCTTGAAGCTGATCAACAGCACAAGCGAAAGCATACATTAGTGAAGTCATAGACTAATGGGATGCTCTTAAAGAGAAAAAGGGTTTGTCAACCACTATAAGTTGCGCGGCTTTTCCTTGATAGGTGAGAACTGAATCGGCTAAGAGTAACACTCGACACGTATATTATGTAACAATACCTCGGACCCAGTCGAAGATAAAGTAGCTATTCGTTGGATTCTGCTCTCATGACATTTCGTGAATTTGCATTTGCATAATAATAACATAAACATGGCCTCAACCTTGCTTCTGGTGAGATAAGTGGTAGTCGAGAAAACTCGTTGACACTCTTTTGGAATTTTAAATCTTTTCCAGCTTAATGTAGTGGTGAGATTTTATGACTGCCATTTTAACTATAATTTTCCGACAGATTGCAGCACAGTAACTTAGGTAATGTGAAATGTATCAATATCTGGCAACATATAATGTTTGATGTATTGAAAACTAGATAAAGATCTTTACTATTTCCACCAGATTGATGCGGTTCTGCAGCATACAAAAGAGGTGCTCCACCTGACTGTGGAGAGAGAACCCTCTTCTCTAATGAGACAGAGCTCTTCTGACAACTCTACATGCTCCCCATCGGACAGTTCTTCCCCCTCACCAACGTCTCCAGCCTCCCCACAGTTCATCAGCGTAAATGGGGTCAATGTTCAGCGTCGCCCAAAGTCACGTCTTAATGCCAAAAAGTAGGTTCTGGCTATCAGTTAAAGAAAGTGATAATTCAGCTGTCTTTTTCGGAAGTTGATACAATTCTGATTCAGCACTTATTTAATTCAAGTCATTTCTTACCATGATAATAATAGCCTTATTTCAAGAAATAAAATTTATAAGTGACTGGTGTGAAATATTATCGCAAATAAAATTCTCATCAAATTATTCAGAATTCAACAACTAGCTGCCTACAGTGTTTTTATCAATATTTAACTTAAAAAAGTGTGTACCTAGGATATGATTACAGATAAAACCGTTGTGTACCTAGGATATAATTACATATAAAACCAGTGTGTACCTAGGATATGGTTACAGATAAAACCAGTGTGTATCTAGGATATGGTTACAGATAAAACTAGTGTGTACCTAGGATATCATTACAGATAAAACCATTGTGTACCAAGGATATGATTACATATAAAACCAGTGTGTACCTAGGATATGGTTACAAATAAAACTAATGTGTACCTAGGATATGGTTACAAATAAAACTAGTGTGTACCTAGGATATGGTTACAGATAAAGCTAGTGTGTACCTAGGATATGATAACAGATAAATCTAGTGTGTACCTAGGATATGATTACAGATAAAGCTAGTGTGTACCTAGGATATGGTTACAAATAAAGCTAGTGTGTACCTAGGATATGGTTACAGATAAAAGCAGTGTGTACCTAGGATATGATTACAGATAAAACTAGTATGTACCTAGGATGTGGTTACAGATAAAAGCAGTGTGTACCTAGGATATGTTTACAGATAAAACCAGTGTGTACCTAGGATATGGTTACAAATAAAGCTAGTATGTACCTAGGATATGGTTACAGATAAAAGCAGTGTGTACCTAGGATATGTTTACAGATAAAAGCAGTGTGTAACTAGGATATGGTTACAGATAAAACCAGTGTGTACCTAGGATATGGTTACAGATAAAACTAGTGTGTACCTAGGATATGGTTACAGATAAAACTAGTGTGTACCTAGGATATGGTTACAGATAAAACTAGTGTGTACCTAGGATATGGTTACAGATAAAACTAGTGTCTACCTAGGATATGATTACAGATAAATCTAGTGTGTACCTAGGATATGATTACAGATAAAGCTAGTGTGTAACTAGGATATGATTACAGATAAAGCTAGTGTGTACCTAGGATATGGTTACAGATAAAGCTTGTGTGTACCTAGGATATGATTACAGATAAAACCAGTATGTACCTAGGATATGATTACAGATAAAACTAGTATGTACCTAGAATATGATTACAGATAAAACTAGTGTGTACCTAGGATATGATTACAGATAAAACCAGTGTGTACCTAGGATATGATTACAGATAAAACTAGTATGTACCTAGAATATGATTACAGATAAAACTAGTGTGTACCTAGAATATGATTACAGATAAAACTAGTGTGTATCTAGGATATGGTTACATATAAAACCAGTGTGTACCTAGGATATGGTTACAGATAAAACCAGTGTGTATCTAGGATATGGTTACAGATAATAATAATAATAATAAATAATAATAATAGACTTTATTTAAATTCGATAATAATAGACTTTATTTAAATTCGATAACACATTGAGTCAATGACTCGTCTCACATGTGGTCGACATAAAATGTACAATATTTACAACATAAAAGCTAGTGTGTACCTAGGATATGGTTACAGATAAAGCTAGTGTGTACCTAGGATATGGTTACAGATAAAGCTAGTGTGTACCTAGGATATGATTACAGATAAAGCTGGTGTGTACCTAGGATATGATTACAGATAAAATTTGTGTGTACCTAAAAGGGGTAACTTCTGATACATTTTACTGTGATGATCATACTTTCCTATAATACAGTTTGAGTCCCTCTCGCAGACGAAGTAAGTCGCCATCTCCAATCCCTCCAAGTCGCCAAAAAAGTGTAGACTTATCACGTGCTAGCTCTCTACGACAACAGCCACAGACCCATCGTGTGTTCCGGGCATCTGACCTCATTCATGGTGAAGTGCTTGGCAAGGGCTTCTTTGGACAGGCTGTCAAGGTCACACACAAACTCACTGGAGAGGTCATGGTGCTAAAGGAGATGTGTCGCTTTGATGAGGAGACACAGAAGACCTTCCTCAAAGAGGTATTTTAGACCTGGGCTGCATGATAAGTAGGGGTATCACAAGGGCAGGGTATCACCAGACCAGGGTATCACAAGGCCAGGGTATCACCAGGCCAGGGTATCACAAGGGCAGGGTATTACAAGGGCAGAGTATCACCTGGCCAGGGTATCACAAGGCCAGGGTATCACCAGGCCAGGGTATCAAAAGGCCAGGGTATTACCAGGCCAGGGTATCACAAGGTCAGGGTATCACAAGGGCAGGGAATTACAAGGGCAGAGTATCACATGGCCAGGGTATCACAAGGCCATGGTATCACAAGGCCAGGGTATCACCAGGCCAGAGAATCACAAGGGCAGGGTATCACCAGGCCAGAGAATCACAAGGCTATGGTATCACAAGGCCAGGGTATCACCAGGCCAGGGTATCACCAGGCCAGAGAATCACAAGGGCAGGGTATCACAAGGCCAGGGTATCACCAGGCCAGAGAATCACAAGGCCAGGGTATCACAAGGCCAGGGTATAACCAGGCCAGGGTATCACAAGGCCAGGGTATCACAAGGCCAGGGTATCACCAGGCCAGGGTATCACAAGGCCAGGGTATAACCAGGCCAGAGAATCACAAGGCCAGGGTATCACCAGGCCAGAGAATCACAAGGCCAGGGTATCACCAGGCCAGAGAATCACAAGGCCAGGGTATCACCAGGCCAGAGAATCACAAGGCCAGGGTATCACCAGGCCAGGGTATCACAAGGCCAGGGTATCACCAGGCCAGAGAATCACAAGGCCAGGGTATCACCAGGCCAGAGAATCACAAGGCCAGGGTATCACCAGGCCAGAGAATCACAAGGCCAGGGTATCACCAGGCCAGAGAATCACAAGGCCAGGGTATCACCAGGGCAGGGTATCACCAGGTCAGAGAATCACAAGGCCAGGGTATCACAAGGCCAGGGTATCACCAGGCCAGGGTATCACAAGGTCAGGGTATCACAAGGCCAGGGTATCACAAGGCCAGGGTATCACAAGGCTATGGTATCACAAGGCCAGAGAAACACAAGGCCAGGGTATCACCAGGCCAGAGAATCACCAGGCCAGGGAATCACCAGGCCAGGGTATCACAAGGGCAGGGAATCACCAGGCCAGAGAATCACAAGGCCAGAGTATCACAAGGCCAGGGTATCACAAGGCCATGGTATCACAAGGCCAGAGAAACACAAGGCCAGGGTAGCACCAGGCCAGAGAATCACCAGGCCAGGGAATCACCAGGCCAGGGTATCACAAGGGCAGGGTATCGCCAGGCCAGGGTATCACCAGGCCAGAGTATCACAAGGGCAGGGTATCACCAGGCCAGGGTATCACCAGGCCAGAGTATCACCAGGCCAGAGTATCACAAGGCTATGGTATCACAAGGCCAGGGTATCACCAGGCCAGGGTATCACCAGGCCAGGGTATCACAAGGCCTGGCCAGGGTATCACAAGGCCAGACCAGGGTATCACCAGGCCAAGGTATCACAAGGCCAAGGTATCACAAGGCCAGGGTATGACCAGGCCAAGGTATCACAAGGCCAGGGTATCACAAGGCCAAGGTATCACAAGGTATCACAAGGCCAGGGTATCACAAGGCCAGGGTATCACAAGGCCAAGGTATCACAAGGCCAGGGTATCACCAGGCCAAGGTATCAAGGCCAGGGTATCACAAGGCCAAGGTATCACAAGGCCTAGGTATCACCAGGCCAGGGTATCACAAGGCCTGGCCAGGGTATCACAAGGCCTGGCCAGGGTATCACCTGGCCAGGGTATCACAAGGCCTGGCCAGGGTATCACCAGGCCAAGGTATCACAAGGCCTGGCCAGGGTATCACCAGGCCAGGGTATCACAAAATTCTAGAAACTCATTAAACAAACTTTAAAAATTAATGCCAATAAAAATACATCTCTTCTTCCCATTTCTCCATCTTTCATATTTGAAATCTCTTTAAGACAGCTCCATCAAAAGTAGAAGGTGACTTAGTTTGTAGGGTTGTTTTAGGTATTGTTGTACATGTGTATTTTACATCTGATTCAGGTATCGGTGCTAAGAAGTCTTGACCATCCGAATGTGCTGCAGTTCTTAGGGGTTTTGTACAAGGAGAAGAAACTCAACCTTATTACAGGTACTAGTCATTTGGTGCAGTGGTATACTGTATACTGGGAAACTTTCGCCAGTTTAACTTTTGCCGTTATCGTCTTCACAAATGGGGGCAAATTTATCATGACAGTGAATATTAGTACCCGTAATAACATGTAAAGGGTCAAATCAACACTGGGCAAACATACACTTTGTCAGCAAACGGCGACAGATTCCTGGTATACAGTAGATATTGGGTCCTTATTCTAAGATAACCATGCTAACAGTGCCAAGTGAGTTTATGTATTGTCCATCATCCATCATTGTCTGTCTGTTGTCCATCATCCATCATTGTCTGTCTGTTGTCCATCATCTATCATTGTCTGTCTGTTTGTTGTCCATCATCTATCATTGTCTGTCCGTCACTAAAAGGCCTACTAGCCAATAGGAAAAGTATAGTTTAACCTAAAATCCTTCTCCTTGAGTATCTGTTAGGGAATCAATGATGTATAAATTATGGTGTGGCCCCCAATCAAAATTAAATAGATATCATCTGTAAATCTATCTGTCTGTCCACATAACAAAGAATCAGGAGAGCTATTAAAGCCCTTGCTGTTGGAGAGCTATTAAAGCCCTTGCTGTTGGAGAGCTATTAAAGCCCTTGTTGTCAGAGAGCTATCAAAGCCCTTGCTGTCGGAGAGCTATTAAAGCCCTTGCTGTCGGAGAGCTATTAAAGCCCTTGCTGTCGGAGAGCTATTAAAGCCCTTGCTGTCAGAGAGCTATTTAAACCCTTGCTGTCGGAGAGCTATTAAAGCCCTTGTTGTCAGAGAGCTATCAAAGCCCTTGCTGTCGGAGAGCTATTAAAGCCCTTGCTGTCGGAGAGCTATTAAAGCCCTTGCTGTCGGAGAGCTATTAAAGCCCTTGCTGTCAGAGAGCTATTTAAACCCTTGCTGTCGGAGAGCTATTAAAGCCCTTGTTGTCAGAGAGCTATCAAAGCCCTTGCTGTCGGAGAGCTATTAAAGCCCTTGCTGTCGGAGAGCTATTAAAGCCCTTGCTGTCGGAGAGCTATTAAAGCCCTTGCTGTCAGAGAGCTATTTAAACCCTTGCTGTCGGAGAGCTATTAAAGCCCTTGTTGTCGGAGAGCTATTAAAGCCCTTGCTGTCGGAGAGCTATTAAAGCCCTTGCTGTCGGAGAGCTATTAAAGCCCTTGCTGTCAGAGAGCTATTTAAACCCTTGCTGTCGGAGAGCTATTAAAGCCCTTGTTGTCGGAGAGCTATTAAAGCCCTTGCTGTCAGAGAGCTATTAAACCCTTGCTGTCGGAGAGCTATTAAAGCCCTTGTTGTCGGAGAGCTATTAAAGCCCTAAAATGAAGGAATGTTCACATGGTTTTGTATGTAGCATCCCTGAGCCAAAGGCATTTATAGTTTGAATTGATGCACTGATACGTTAAGCTGGAAAAATAAAAATTGGAACCAATGAAAATGATATACTAGTAGTACTAAAAGTTATTTATTTTTACACAGAATTTATAGCTGGTGGAACGCTAAAAGAATTATTGCAGGATATGTCTAAGGCCCTATCCTGGACGAAGCGAATCAACATCACTAAAGACATCTCAAATGGCATGGTATGTGAACACAACAGGATGTGACATTTAGTGAACACAACAGGATGTGACATTTAGAAATGATAGTACAAATGAAGAAAATGAGAGCAGCAACAATCAATATTAACTATATCTGGTCCTGCTATATATAAAACATTGATGAATTGTTTGAAGTTTTTTTATTGTACTAAACTAAGTATCTAACCTGTGGTCAACTTAATTTGGCAAAGTAAAGATCAAACCTAATTATGCAGATAGCATTGACCTATAAATGGTCCACCCTCGCTATCCAGGGGTTACGCTCACTGTCACTCTCTGCACCCCTGGAACCATCCTCGGTATCCAGGGGTTACGCTCACTGTCACTCTCTACACCCCTGGAACCATCCTCGATATCCAGGGGTTACGCTCACTGTCACTCTCTACACCCCTGGAACCATCCTCGCTATCCAGGAGTTACGCTCACTGTCACTCTCTACACCCCTGGAACCATCCTCGCTATCCAGGGGTTACGCTCACTGTCACTCTCTACACCCCTGGAACCATCCTCGCTATCCAGGAGTTACGCTCACTGTCACTCTCTACACCCCTGGAACCATCCTCGCTATCCAGGGGTTACGCTCACTTTCACTCTCTACACCCCTGGAATATGTCATAGCAAAATTGAAGGCTCAGTGTGCGCCACCTTGTGGATGAGACGAGAAGACTAGTTTGGTCCTGTGATGTACATCAAAAGAATCTCGCGGTCGCGTAACGGTAAAAAATGACATGCTTTGAAGTCGGGCGTCGCTCCTTTGTAATCTTTAAAGGACAAGTAACAGACTAGCGACTGGTCAGGTTTTTATACGCCCGTCAAATTTGACGGGAATATTATGGTATGGCGCCGTCTGTCCGGCGTAAACTTTTGTTTGTCTGGCAATCTCCTCCAGCATTTTTCGACCAATCTCTTTGAAACTTGGTGTACATTATAATCATGATATGAAGTTGTTTCCCCTTTAAAAGAATTTTGATTCAACAATTTTTCCAAAAGTTATTGCCCTTTGTTCATTTCAGTACATTTTTTATAGCATGTCAGCTAACCACTCTTAGAATGATGCAGATCTTATTTCAATGTAAGAAAGTATATAACACTATATGGCATTTGACTGGCATATATAGCTCTGCCCCGTGGTACTCTTGTTTTACCTGACACTAATCAAATAGCTAGCCGCGAGCCTTCATGTTTGCTATGACATATTCCAGGGGTGTAGAGAGTGAAAGTGAGCGTAACCCCTAGATACTCAGGATGTAAGTGGTCCAGCTGAATGTACATACTATTCATAATTTATTATGTTGTCCTGCAGTTAAGACTTGACAAATTATTACAATGTAGAATGACATTATTGATTATTTTCTGAGTGAAGTTATTATTGAATGTTTTCAGGCATATTTACACAAGATGGACATCATTCACAGAGACCTCAACTCCAGTAACTGTTTTGTCAAACAGGTAGACTTTTTCAATATTCCTATTCCATCAGAATTTAATTTAAAATCTGTACAGTTATGATAATAAAATCTGTATTTATGCTTATAAGGTCTACACTTATGGTATTGGTAATAAGCTCTTTAAACTTAGTGGATACTGTAATGTAATATATACAATGAAACCTTTACTTGAACTTTCTCAACTCATTGCCAGGACTTGACGATAGTAGTGGCCGACTTCGGACTGGCACGGGTTATTCCCGCCGAGAGGTACCGTCGGCCAGACACGAGTGCCACCAAACTCACACGGAGTGCAGCCAAGAGACGTTTCCAGAGGAAGAAGAGGTACACAGTGGTTGGAAATCCTTACTGGATGGCACCAGAGATGTTGACAGGCAAATCTTACGATGAGAAGGTTGACCTGTTCTCTTTTGGAATTGTCATGTGTGAGGTGAGATTGTCTTACATCTGGAATAGATATTGGGATATCAACTTTTAGTTAATGGATATGAGAAACTCATAGAAATCTATATCTTAATCAAGAATCAGTAAATGACCATGAACCTTTATTTGATAAGAAATCCAGAAAATTTAGGCAGAAAATGAATTCATCGATATGACTCTAGGGTAGGAATAATGGCTATTATTTCCAGGTATTGGTTGATTATTATTGATCCCCATTTTATAAATTGTAGTTCCTAAACAATTTCCAGAATTTGAAGAGCAATTCTTTGTGGCCATTAAATGATTTAATCTTTGTGACAATCATGATTAAAAAACAATTCCTTACAAAAAATGATTGCAATTTATATTTTGTTACTGATTTTTTGTTCATGTCATCAGTTAATGGGCATTTAATATGTAGGTTTATCTCTTTTCATGGCTTTAACTTTTGGGAAAAACAAAAATTAATGAATAAGATATATTTAACAGGTCAATGATTTTAACATGATTTTCGTGGGAAATGACTGGATTTTGTGTGTAATGAAGTATATAGATGCTGACTTAGGTCTACTTTTCAATAGGTATACAGTGAATTTTTAGCTCACCTGGCCCAAACTGCCTTTGAGCTTCTGCTGTAGCGCAGCATCCGTTTGTATTCCGTCAAGCAACAACTTTAAACAACTTTTGCTCAAATTCAAGGTCACAAGGGTCAAATCTCCAGGATGATGATGTTTAGCCATAAAAATGTTGGGAAGAACAGCTACCAAATTTGTTCAAATGAATTACCTTCACTCATATTTAAGGTCACAGGTGTCAATTGTCTTAAAAACATTTGAACAACTTCTTCTAAATAACCATAAGGCACAGGGTGATGATATTTGGCCAGTAAAATGCTTTGTTGAAGGGCTTCCAAGATTGTTCAAATGAATGACTGACTCATATTCAAGGTAACAGGCGTCAAATATGTTCAAAACTTTAAACAACTTCTTACGAATAACCAGAATGTATAGGGTGGTGATATTTGGCCAGTAGCTTGCGAAGATGAGGAGCTATCAAGTTTGTATGTAAATAACTTTACACACTTTTAAGGTCACATATAATTAAATGTGTGTAAACCTTTAAAAGACCTTATCTCAATAAATAAAAGGTCAAGGGTGTCAAGTTGATGCTGGCACAACAGGTTATAAAGTTTGTTTAACTTAATGTCCTTGTTTGACTCTCAAGGTCACAGGGTCAAATGTGTTTAAATTTTTAAACGGCAAAGCCTCGGGTCTCCTGCTCAATATTTTATCCCTTGGGTTTGAATGACCTTATCTATACCACAAATCAGGGATGGATTCTATTAATCCACACCTCACATCAGGGATGGATTCTATTAATCCATACCTCACATCAGAGATGGATTGTATTAATCCCTACCACACATCAGGGATGGATTCTATTAGTCCATACCTCACATAAGGGATGGATTCTATTAATCCATACCTCACATCAAGGATGGATTCTATTAATCCATACCTCACATCAAGGATGGATTCTATTAATCGATACCTCACATCAGGGATAGATTCTATTAATCCATACCTCACATCAGGGATGGACTCTATTAATCCATACCTCACATCAGGGATGGATTCTATTTATCCATACCTCACATCAGGGATGGATTCTATTAGTCAATACCTCACATCAGGGATGGATTCTATTAGTCCCTACCTCACATCAGGGATGGATTCTATTAATCCATACATTATTAATCCATACCTCACATCAAGGATGGATTAATAAGGTATGGATTAATAGAATCCATCCCTGATGTGTGGTATGGATTAATAGAATCCATCCCTGATGTGAGGTAGGGACTAATAGAATCCATCCCTGATGTGAGGTATTGACTAATAGAATCCATCCCTGATGTGAGGTATGGACTAATGGAATCCATCCCTGATGTGAGGTATGGACTAATAGAATCCATCCCTGATTTGAGGTATGGATTAATAGAATCCATCCCTGATGTGAGGTAGGGATTAATAGAATCCATCCCTGATGTGAGGTATGTATTAATAGAATCCATCCCTGATGTGAGGTATGGACTAATGGAATCCATCCCTGATGTGAGGTATGGACTAATAGAATCCATCCCTGATCTGAGGTATGGATTAATAGAATCCATCCCTGATGTGAGGAATGGATTAATAGAATCCATCCCTGATGTGAGGTGTGGATTCTATTAATCCACACCTCACATCAGGGATGGATTCTATTAATCCATACCTCAAATCAGGGATGGATTCTATTAATCCATACCTCACATCAGGGATGGATTCTATTAATCCATACCTTATTAATCCATACCTCACATCAAGGATGGATTCTATTAATCCATACCTCACATCAGGGATGGATTCTATTAATCCATACCTCACATCAAGGATGTATTCTATTAGTCCTTTATGTGTAATAATTCCCTGTACAATAAATTTATGTTGTAGGTGATTGGCAGAGTATTTGCTGATCCTGACTACCTGCCAAGAACTCTAGACTTTGGTTTGAATGCTGAAGCGTTTTATGGAAAGTTTTGTACTGACAGTAGTTGCCCTTCGGCCTTCTTCAAGGTGGCCATCATGTGTTGTCAAATGACTCCTGATAACAGGTAGGTTTAACACTGCAGATATATTGATAATAGAAATTATATCTATAGTCACATGCAGATTGTTTTAAAACAGTTAATTCCTACTCTGACTTTTGTAATGTTTTACTAGATGTATTGAGTCTTTGTGAACTGTACATGTGTATGTAGTTATCACTGTCTACTCTGTACATGTGTATGTAGTTTTCACTGTCTATTCTGTACATGTGTATGTAGTTATCACTGTCTGTTCTGTACATGTGTATGTAGTTATCACTGTCTACTCTGTACATGTGTATGTAGTTATCACTGTCTGTTTTGTACATGTGTATGTAGTTTTCACTGTCTATTCTGTACATGTGTATGTAGTTTTCACTGTCTGTTCTGTACATGTGTATGTAGTTTTCACTGTCTACTCTGTACATGTGTATGTAGTTATCACTGTCTGTTTTGTACATGTGTATGTAGTTTTCACTGTCTATTCTGTACATGTCTATGTAGTTTTCACTGTCTGTTCTGTACATGTGTATGTAGTTTTCACTGTCTACTCTGTACATGTGTATGTAGTTTTCATGGTCTACTCTGTTCATTATACGAGCCTTCTCAAACCTTATTTTCCTTTTTCTCCTAAACATGAGGCATAGTAGGATTTTGAGCACTTTCCCAATCGTATGTATAGTTGTTAAGTTTTGTTTGATGAAATTTTTATGAAAAAATATGTTTGAAAGTTAAAAGAACCACATATTTCTTTATTCATGTTGCAAACACACAAATAAGTTAAAAGTTAATTTTGAACAAATTGTGAAAATGATTGTTGAACAAAATTATCATGCTGATGTATTTGGTGTTTCTATTTAAATTTCAGACCGAGTTTTGAGATGGTGACCATGTGGTTTGATAGCCTTATGTTCCACCTGGAGCACCAAGGAGCCTTACCTGCTAATCTGAAGGGCGACCCCATACAGTACTACTTCTCTCTCAAAGACACCCTCCACTCAAAACAACAGGACAAACAAATCTCCTCCTGTCCAGATTCTGGCAAACCTCGGAGTCGGCGATCAAGTCTCCACATCATCAAGGAAAAGACGGTAGATAAGGCACCATCTATTGAGGCTGAGGACAAGACCAAAAGTTGTGTAAAGTGTGGGGCTGAGAACAAAACCAATATGTGTATAAAATGTCAAGACAAAGAGCAGACTCTTATCACAGAGGATGTTGATAAACCAACAAATTCTTGTGAAAAGTGTCGAAAAATATGGAAATCTCAGACTAAGGGGGATAACTGTGAAAACTGCCAATCTTTGAAACATGAAATTTGTGCTGAAAAGGACATACAAAAATGTACATTGACTGGAAATATGTGTGATTTAATATCAGGACAGGGGAGTGAAACAACAGAAGATAAGTCAATTCACAATAATTCAGTTTGTAGTTTTGGACAAGTCACAAATGATACAAAAGATGACAGTTCTACACTGAGTTCGGGACCACTAGACTCAAATTTGAATGGTGTCTATCGTACAATGTCATGTGAAGGGGAGAACAAATCTGTGATGTTAGACACTGAAACGTCATTTGGTGCTTCAAACCGCCATAGTAGAAGTTCAACTCCAGATGAGCCACGCTGTAAAAAACCTGCTAACGATTATGTCAAAGAGAACAAGTCATCAGAAAATGACTCTAACTTGCCAAAGGATAACACAAGTAAATCCTCCGAACCTGTCCATTATTCCTCCCTAAATGACCTTGAAGCTGTGACTTATCTACAGGGGGTAAACCATTCTCCATCGTTTGTCAGTTCATGTACAGTAACACTATCAGTTCCCCATGCTCCCGTGATGGTGAACAATAGCATTGTTTTCCCAGGGGAGAGTGACGAACAGGAGCTCACTCAGAATGAGAAGTCGCCAAGTCTCAACAGTAAACCATTTCCACATTGTGATCAAGGTTCATATTCCTCAACAAAACAGGACAAGCCTAACTGTAGCCCTGACTCACCCACGGAATCTTACTCTCGTAGGATGTTGTTCTCATCACCTGATAATTCAGCCAATCATACGGACTCTTTCAGTGTACTGCCACACAGCTGTTCATCTTCTGACGACAGAACTGCCTCATTTTCACTTGGCGTACACCCCATAGATAATGATGCTAGTAGCAGCTTTTACGAGAGTGGGCAAGCAGAAGATAGCCTATCTGATGAAAGCTTGTTAGATTTCACGTCTGCAGTTTAGCCGTGTGTAAATGTATCTAAAACAGATCATGTGTACAGAAATAAATCAATGCCAAACCGTTGAGTCTTTGATACGTTCAGTAGTCGTCCACTTCATATATTTGACACAGTGATAAATACAATCACTTCTGCTCAAAATTAAATGAACAGCCAAACGTTTTGTGTATTAAGAATTCTCGTACCACTGGCAGAAAATTTAATTGAGCAATGGACATTGATGAATCATTTCTAAAACAGAAAACCGTACCGTGTAGGACTAAAAAGGCAGAAAAAAAGATGCATAAGCAAAATGTAATTAAAACCTGTTTCCTGAATGTAAAAGTGCATAGGGGCTAGATTGGGATTTGAACCCCGGACTTTGGATTGTATACTATCTCTCTAACCGACTGAGCAAACAGAAGTCAGCTGGTCCATTGGGCTACAGTTATAGCCAAAACGGAATCAAGGGGAGGTTACTGTATATATAAAAACCCACAGTGCAGTGGGACAGGGATACTTACCATAGATTTGGCAATGTCTTGAGAGATACCCTTTAATACCAAGTATATTATTTTAAACATCTTTTATGTAAGATATTTCTGTAAATTTATAGATTATAACTGTATGTAGCGAGGAATTCTGATGCAGGGAGGAGTGAACATAAATGATGCAATGTATGATTGTACACTATTTTGATTGTATAATATTTTGATTGTACACTATTTTGATTGTATAATATTTTGATTGTATAATATTTTGATTGTATAATATTTTGATTGTACACTATTTTGATTGTATAATATTTTGATTGTACACTATTTTGATTGTATAATATTTTTATTGCATAAGGAAGAACTTTATGTATAATATTTTGATTGTATAATATTTTGATTGCACAAGGAAGAACTGTATGTGACACGTTGACGTGTAGACACATTGGACCAATGAAAGCTGCCTGTGATTTGTGTGTTCATTTCGCATAATGTTAAGGTGATTACCTTTAATTTAAGTTGTTATATATGAGTCTCAAAACCAATATTTTACATGCAATATATCTGGACAGGTTTTTTATCACTTTACATGTATTAACTTGTATTTCATCCCTGTTATATTGGCTTCCATTGTTCATAAATTGTTACAATTGCATCGAGCTATTAGCTTTCTTGTTGGCGTTTAACAGTTGGAATATATATTCCATGTGCCTTTGTCTGCAGCTAACCTTTAAATCAAGGAGGGGAGATAACTTGCTTCTTGAAAAGTATATTGTTATTTATTCAGAGTGCATTTTTTATTGATTCTGTAAAATTTTGATCCATACAGTACATTTGTACTCCTCATTTTTTTTTATCAAGGGTAGGGAATTGATTTAATTATTTTTTATTGAATTCTGCCTTTTTATTTTTGAATTGACTGAACCATTCCATTTCCAAAGAAGTGTGTTGGTACTTACTAGCAGAAATGTACAGTGGTTTAGGTAAAAACATATAAAGAAGTTGGGTGGTACATACTAGCAGAAATGTACAGTGGTTTAGGTAAAAACATATACAGAAGTGTGTTGGTACATACTAGCAGAAATGTACAGTGGTTTAGGTAAGAACTTATAAAGAAGTTAGTTGGTACATACTAGCAGAAATGTTTTAGGTAAGAACTTATAAAGAAATTGGGTGGTACATACTAGCAGAAATGTACAGTGGTTTAGGTAAGAACTTATAAAGAAGTGTGTTGGTACTTACTAGCAGAAATGTTTTAGGTAAGAACTTACCTACAGTATATGAATGAATTGGATACATACTAATAGGATTGTAGGGTTGGATGAAGTTTAAAAGTGTTACTCTGACATGTTACAATTGTTCCTGTAAAAGCTATACAAATACACTAATGGGAGATAGTCTTGTTTTACGCCTCTAGTGTATACAGTATTCCCCTCCAAATCAATGAAGATGATAGTGAAGATGTAACACTCGCCTCAGGCAAATGTGCTGAGGTTGTGGTTAGGATATTTGTGTTATTAATCTATATATTTTAAATGTTATGTTGGGATTCTAACAGCATTATCAACACAATGTTCTCCACAGTATATATGGTGGTCGGTACATACTGCGGTCAGTATGTATAGTGGTCAGTACATACTGTGGTCAGTATGTATTGTGGTCGGTACATACTGTGGTCAGTATGTATAGTGGTCAGTACATACTGTGGTCAGTATGTATTGTGGTCGGTACATACTGCAGTCAGTATGTATAGTGGTCGGTACATACTGCGGTCAGTATGTATTGTGGTCGGTACAGACTGCAGTCAGTATGTATAGTGGTCGGTACACACTGCGGTCAGTATGTATATTGTTCAGTACATACTGTGGCCAGTATGTATTGGGGTCGGTACATACTGTGGTCAGGATGTATAGTGGTCAGTACGTATTGTGGCCAGTATGTATTGGGGTCGGTACATACTGCAGTCAGTATGTATAGTGGTCTGTACATACTGCGGTCAGTATGTATTATGGTCAGTACATTCTGTGGTCAGTACGTATAGTGGTCAGTACATACTGGGGTCAGTATGTATTGTGTTCGGTACATACTGCGGTCAGTATGTATAGTAGTCAGTACATACTGTGGTTAGTATGTATTGTGGTCGATACATACTGTGGTCAGTATGTATAGTGGTCAGTACATACTGCAGTTGGTATGTATAGTGGTCAGTATGTATGTATAGTGGTCATTATGTATAGTGGTCATTATGTATAGTGGTCAGTACATACTGTGGTTGGTATTTATAGTGGTCAGTACATACTGTGGTCAGTATGTATAGTGGTCTGTACATACTGCGGTTGGTATGTATAGTGGTCAGTACATACTGTGGTCAGTATGTATAGTGGTCAGTACATACTGCTGTTGGTATGTACAGTGGTCAGTATCTACAGCCATCAATACATACTGTAGTTGGAACAAACTGTGGTCTGAACGTTCAGAGCGCTTTCATAATAAACAGTAAAAAACAAACGCTCATTTGCTTTCACTATTTATGTAATGTTACAATTATATACAATTTTTAAGAATTCATTGTTATGGTTCGAATGTAATGTATAGAAATTAGATAGCTTCTCTAGTTGTGTTTTCATCAAATTCTTTTGTTACTGATATCTTATATCAATTGAAATTCCCATAAAAATATTTATTCTGTGATTAAAGAAAAAGTTTAATGATAGCCTGTTTTTACAATGTGAAGTAAAGTTTGTAGATGACCTCAGATATTGATGAGCTTGTCACTTAATTTACTGAGCCACTGTTATTTTGTCAGAATTAGAAATTGTTGCATATGAGTCACTTACATTCAAAGTTTATTAATTATTTCAGATTAGCCGCTAAATTGGCTCAGATGAGAGAAGCTGTTTGTTATTTGATGGACTCCTAACCATTCTTGGTTCAGTAAATGCTCTCAGACCTGTTAAGGTTTCATGTGTTGTATTTGTTGATGCATGTAATATCCTTCCTTGTCAATATAATGTACAGGTCTTCAGTACATGTAATGAAAGCTTTCTTTTGTTGTTTAACTGTACTTTCACATAATTTATGTAGAGGCTCTCCAAGCTAAGTAGAGGATGCAGTGAGACAAGATAAAGGCTATACAGGATTAGTCAGGGCTATGTATACGGTGGGCTATACAGGATTAGTCAGGGCTATGTGTACGGTGGGCTATACAGGATTAGTCAGGGCTATGTATATGGTGCTTATCATTTAGTTGTTACAACAATATAAAATGTGTCCTGTGTATTAAAGTACTTATAAATGTTAGTTGTCAATGTAATGTTTGAATATATTAATGAATGTGTCAAATACTTAAAAAAAATACCATATAAAGGTTACACAACATTGTGTGAACGACACAGCTGTATGTTTAATATCTTTCACATTACATCTCTTACATATAGTTACATTAATACTGTAATTTAAGTTTGTTAAATAATTGTTTTTTCTGGTTATTGAATTATTAAGTAACCTGAGCTTTATACCTATTCCAATCACATTTCAACACTTCTCATCCATCGTCGAGCATGTGTGGTCTATAAACTTTTACCCCTTCATAAAAACCAGTGAATGGATTTCTTTCAAACTTGATAAGAATCAATTGGTAGAATAAGGTATTGATTTGTACAATTTGGGTTTCTGTCCCAATAAATTCCAAGGAGCCAGGGCAGATAATTGGCTTAAATTTCCAAAATCTTCTTCTCCAGACTCAGATGTACTAGAATCAAAGATATTTTACATTATCTCCATTGTAAACTTTATTACCATGAGAAGGGGGTACAGATTAATATAGTTTATATTGGGGACTGATATCCTTGCTAGGCTTGGAGACTTAAAGGGACTGATTTGCTAAATAGACTAGAAGACTTACGGGGAGGGGACTGATATCCTTGCTAGCCTTGGAGATTTAGAGAGAAGGGGAATGTTTGTTTTGAAGTAGCAGCCAAAGGGGTTGGGTATTGTAACCAGACTAGGAGGCTTGGGTGTTAGGGGGTATTCTAGCCAGACCAAGGATAAGGGGAGGAGGTCGGGATAGTTGAATTGAGGTACTTGAGCGTTGTAAGTGGTGTATACATGTGTGAGCTGTGATAAAGTGAAGTGTAGACTTGAAGTTACACAGCATGTAGTGTAGCTATAGGCTATCACACAATAAACAAATGCTGAGGCGTTAAATCAGACATTGGCTTTCGGATTATTATATAATTAGACTTTTGAATACTTTCATTTTTAGCTCACCTGGCACGAAGTGCCAAGTGAGCTTATGCCGTGGTGCGGCGTCCGTCGTCCGTCGTACGTCCATCCGTCGTCCGGCGTCCGGCGTCAATATTTTACTTTAAACGACTTCTTCTTAATAACCAAGAGGCCTAGGGTGATGATATTTGGCCAGAAGCAAACTGGGATGAAGGGCTACAAAGTTTGTTAAAATTAATGACCTTCAGCCATTTTCAAGGTCACAAGGGTCAAATATGTGAAAAACTTTAAACATCTTCTTCTCGATAACCAAACTGCCCAGAGAGATGATATATGGCCAGTAGCATGCTTGGGTGAAGGGCTACCAAGTTTGTTCAAATAAATGACCTTCAATTATATTCAAGGTCACAGGGGTCAATTGTCTTAAAAAACCTTTAAACAACTTCTTCTGAATAACCAAAATGCCCAGGGTGATGATATTTGGCCAGTAGCATGCTGACATGAAGGGCTACAAAGTTTGTTCAAATGAATGACCTTCACCCATTTTCAAGGTCACAGGGGTCAAATATGTTAAAAACTTTAAACATTTTCTGAATGACAAAAAATGCCCAGGGTGATGATATTTAGTCAGTAGCATACTAGGATCAAGGGCTACCAAGTTTGTTTAAATGTATGACCTTGAATCATATTCAAGGTCACAAGGAGCAAATATGGTCAAAATATAAAAAAAAATAAACAACTTGTTCTGGATAACCAAAAGGCTTAGGATGTGATATTTAGTCAGTAGCATGCTGGGATGAAGGACTACTATGTTTGTTAAAGTGAATGACTTTGACTTATATTCAAGGTCACAGGGGTCAAATTTGTTTAAAATCTTTAATCAACCTCTTCTGAATAACCAAAATTGGGTCCCAGGATGTTGATACTTTGCAAGTTGCATCCTCAGATGAAAGGCTATAAAATTTGTTCAACATAATGACTTTGTTCGACTTTCAATCACAGGGGTGAAATGTTAAAAAAAAAGTTAACAGGTTCTTTTGAATGAATTTTAATCATAAATACTGATATTTTATTTTGCCTGTAGCTTTATTTTAGATCACTTTTAAGGTTACAAGTGTGAGACTTATACCAGGTGAGCGATGCTCTTGTTTTAAATACACATCTTTATATGTGGCGCTAATTTCAGTTGAATTATAAAACAATGCCATTATTTATTATGATAATGATGTATCACCTTGAGGACCAGTATAAAAGGGAGAATGACCATTATAAAAGGGAGAATGACCAGTATAAATTGGAATAGGACCAGTATAAAATGGAGAAGGACTAGTATAAAAGGAAAAGGGACCAGTATAAAAGGGAGAATAACCAGTATAAATTGGAATAGGACCAGTATAAAAGGGAGAATGACCAGTATAAAAGGGAATAGCACCAGTATAAAAGGGATAATGACCAGTATAAAAGGGAATAGGACCAGTATAAAAGGGAGAATGACCAGTATAAAAGGGAGTAGGACCAGTATAAAAGGGAGAATGACCAGAATAAAAGGGAGAATGACCAGTATAAATTGGAATAGGACCGGTGTAAAAGGAAGAATGACCAGTATAAATTGGAATAAGACAAGTATAAAAGGGAATAGAACTAATTTAAAAGGCAGATTGACCAGAATAAAAGGGAGAATAACCAGTACAAATTGGAATAGGACCGGTATAAAAGGAAGAATGACCATTATAAAAGGGAGAATGACCAGAATAAAAGGGAGAATGACCAGTATAAATTGGAATAAGACAAGTATAAAAGGGAATAGAACTAATTTAAAAGGCAGATTGACCAGAATAAAAGGGAGAATAACCAGTATAAATTGGAATAGGATCGGTATAAAAGGGATAATGACCCGTATAAATTGGAATAGGATCAGTATACAAGGGAGAATGACCAGTATAAATTGGAATAGGACCGGTATAAAAGGGATAATGACCAGTATAAATTGGAATAGGACCAGTATAAAAGGGAGCATGACCTGTATAAAAGAGAGAATGACAAGTATAAAAGGGAATAGAACTAATTTAAAAGGGAGATTGACCAGAATAAAAGGGAGAATGACCAGTATAAATTGGAATAAGACAAGTATAAAAGGGAAAAGAACCAGTATAAAAGGGAATAGAACTAATTTAAAAGGGAGATTGACCAGAATTAAAGGGAGAATGACCAGTATAAAGTGGAATAAGACAAGTATAAAAGGGAAGAGAACCAGTATTAAAGGGAGAATTACCAGTATAAAAGGGAGAATTGCCAGTATAAAAGGGAGAATTGCCAGTATAAAAGGGAGAATGACCAGTATGAAAGAGAATAGGACCAGTATGAAAGGGAAAATGACCAGTATAAAAGGGAGACTAACCAGTATAAATTGGAATAGGACCAGTATAAAAGGGAGCATGACCTGTATAAAAAAGAGAGAATGGCCAGTATAAAAGGGAATAGAACCAGTATAAAAGGGAATAGAACCAGTATAAAAGGAAGAATGACCAGTATAAATTTGAATAGGACCAGTATAAAAGGGATAATGACCAGTATAAAAGGGAATAGAACTAATTTAAAAGGGAGATTGACCAGAATTAAAGGGAGAATGACCAGTATAAATTGGAATAAGACAAGTATAAAAGGGAATAGAACCAGTATTAAAGGGAGAATTACCAGTATAAAAGGGAGAATGACCAGTATAAAAGGGAGAATGATCAGTTTAACTTGGAATAGGACCAGTATACAAGGGAGAATGACCAGTATGAAAGAGAATAGGACCAGTATAAAAGGGAGAATGACCAGTATAAAAGGGAGAATAACCAGTATAAATTTGAATAGGACCAGTATAAAAGGGAGAATAACCAGTATAAATTTGAATAGGACCAGTATAAAAGGGAGCATGACCTGTATAAAAAAGAGAAAATGACAAGTATAAAAGGGAATAGAACCAGTATAAAAGGGAATAGAACCAGTATAACAGGGAATAGAACCAGTATAAAAGGAAGAATGACCAGTATAAATTTGAATAGGACCGGTATAAAAGGGATAATGACCTGTATAAATTTGAATAGGACCAGTATAAAAGGGATAATGACCTGTATAAATTTGAATAGGACCAGTATAAAAGGGAGCATGACCGGTAAAAAAAAGGGAGAATGACAAGTATAAAAGGGAGAATGACCAGTATAAAAGGTAATAGAACCAGTATAAAAGAGAATAGAACCAGTATAAAAGGGAGAATAACAAGTATAAAAGGGAATAGAACCAGTATAAAAGGGAATAGAACCAGTATAACAGGGAATAGAACCAGTATAAAAGGAAGAATGACCAGTATAAATTGGAATAGGACCAGTATAAAAGGGAGCATGACCTGTAAAAAAAAGGGAGAATGACAAGTATAAAAGGGAGAATGACCAGTATAAAAGGGAGAATAACCAGTATAAAAGGGAGAATAACCAGTATAAATTGGAATAGGACCGGTATAAAAGAGAGAATGACAAGTATAAAAGGGAGAATTACCAGTATAAAAGGGAATAGAACCAGTATAAAAGAGAATAGAACCAGTATAAAAGGGAGAATAACCAGTATAAATTGGAATAGGACCGGTATAAAAGGAAGAATGACCAGTATAAATTTGAATAGGACCAGTATAAAAGGGAGGATAACCAGTATAAATTTGAATAGGACCAGTATAAAAGGGATAATGACCAGTATAAATTGGAATAGGACCGGTATAAAAGGAAGAATGACCAGTATAAATTGGAATAGGACCAGTATAAAATGGAGAATGACCATTATAAAAGGGAATAGAACCAGTATAAAAGGAAGAATGACCAGTATGAATTGGAATAGGATCAGTATAAAATGGAGAATGACCATTATAAAAGGGAATATAACCAGTATAAAAGGAAGAATGACCAGCAGTATAAAAGGGAGAATGACCAGTATAAAAGGGAATAGAACCAGTATAAAAGGAAGAATGACCAGTATAAGTTGGAATAGGACCAGTATAAAATGGAGAATGACCAGTATAAAAGGGAATAGAACCAGTATAAAAGGAAGAATGACCAGTATAAATTGGAATAGGATCAGTATACAAGGGAGAATGACCATTATAAAAGGGAGAATAACCAGTATAAATTGGAATAGGACCGGTATAAAAGGGAGAATAACCAGTATAAATTGGAATAGGACCGGTATAAAAGGGATAATGACCAGTATAAATTGGATTAGGACCAGTATAAAAGGGAGCATGACCTGTATAAAAGAGAGAATGACAAGTATAAAAGGGAATAGAACTAATTTAAAAGGGAGATTGACCAGTATAAAAGGGAGAATGACCAGTATAAATTGGAATAAGACAAGTATAAAAGGGAATAGAACCAATATGAAAGGGAGAATTACCTGTATAAAAGGGAGAATGACCAGTATAAAAGGGAGAATGATCAGTTTAACTTGGAATAGGACCAGTATACAAGGGAGAATGACCAGTATGAAAGAGAATAGGACCAGTATAAAAGGGAGAATGACCAGTATAAAAGGGAGAATGACCAGTATAAATTGGAATAGGACAAGTATAAAAGGGAATAGAACCAGTATAAAAGGGAGAATTACCAGTATAAAAGGGAGAATGACCAGTATAAAAGGGAATAGAACCAGTATAAAAGAGAATAGAACCAGTATAAAAGGGAGAATAACCAGTATAAAAGGGAATAGAACCAGTATAAAAGAGAATAGAACCAGTATAAAAGGGAGAATAACCAGTATAAAAGGGAATAGAACCAGTATAAAAGAGAATAGAACCAGTATAAAAGGGAGAATAACCAGTATAAAAGGGAATAGAACCAGTATAAAAGGGAGAATTACCAGTATAAAAGGGAGAATGACCAGTATAAAATGGAATAGGATCAGTATACAAGGGAGAATGACCAGTATAAAAGGGAATAGGACCAATATGAAAGGGAAAATGACCAGTATAAAAGGGAGAATGACCAGTATAAATTGGAATAGGATCAGTATACAAGGGAGAATGACCAGTATAAAAGGGAGAATGACTAGTATAAAAGGGAGAATGACCATTATAAAACCTTTGTATTTGTAACATAACTGTTTTATTCCATAGTTACTGTTGCGATCTTGTAGCTCACAGGATAAAAATAAATTATAAAATATCCTACGCATGTGTTTCTTGTTTCAGTAACCATTGCTATTTTTTTTTTTTTTTAAATGTGTCTTTAGGGCTATTTATTTGTTCTTGAAAATATATGAGATTAAAAACTTACTTGGCGTAACGTTTTCCCCAGGTCTCTCACTTCCATAATCAGTGAATTTCACACATATTTAATGAGGCTACCGAGTTCTGATTGGCTGATAGTATTCCATGCAATAAATCTTGTGATGAAATGGTCAGAATGTTATTGAACTTTCCTGGTTTACTACTTATACCCAGATCTACTACTCGGGTTTAATGATAGCGAACTCTGAGCATGTTCTATGATGCTACTGAGCTTTTATCCGGTGATGACCCTGGCTTTCTGCCTATAATCTTACGAAGGAGTCATCAGATTTTGATGGTGAAAGAAAACGTGTTGACCCAATCCCATAAAACAAGACGGCTGCCATGGTTTCTGATTTCGGATCAACAGTTTGTTTGATTCAGTTTATACTGGATGGTAGCTGGTATTTTTCAGAATACAAACATGCACACCTCTTTCTTTTTAAACCTCAAAATTAAGAAGAAATGTTTCCGCTCAGTGAATATGGGATATATTCCCTATGTACGGTCCACACATAAGTAAGGTGGATATATTCCCTATGTACGGTCCACACATGAGTAAGGTGGATATATTCCCTATGTACGGTCCACACATGAGTAAGGTGGATATATTCCCTATGTACGGTCCACACATGAGTAAGGTGGATATATTCCCTATGTACGGTCCACACATGAGTAAGGTGGATATATTCCCTATGTACGGTCCACACATGAGTAAGGTGGATATATTCCCTATGTACGGTCCACACATGAGTAAGGTGGATATATTCCCTATGTACGGTCCACACATGAATAAGGTGGATATATTCCCTATGTACGGTCCACACATGAGTAAGGTGGATATATTCCCTATGTACGGTCCACACATGAGTAAGGTGGATATATTCCCTATGTACGGTCCACACATGAGTAAGGTGGATATATTCCCTATGTACGGTCCACACATGAGTAAGGTGGATATATTCCCTATGTACGGTCCACACATGAGTAAGGTGGATATATTCCCTATGTACGGTCCACACATGAGTAAGGTGGATATATTCCCTATGTACGGTCCACACATGAGTAAGGTGGATATATTCCCTATGTACGGTCCACACATGAGTAAGGTGGATATATTCCCTATGTACGGTCCACACATGAGTAAGGTGGATATATTCCCTATGTACGGTCCACACATGAGTAAGGTGGATATATTCCCTATGTACGGTCCACACATGAGTAAGGTGGATATATTCCCTATGTACGGTCCACACATGAGTAAGGTGGATATATTCCCTATGTACGGTCCACACATGAGTAAGGTGGATATATTCCCTATGTACGGTCCACACATGAATAAGGTGGATATATTCCCTATGTACGGTCCACACATGAGTAAGGTGGATATATTCCCTATGTACGGTCCACACATGAATAAGGTGGATATATTCCCTATGTACGGTCCACACATGAGTAAGGTGGATATATTCCCTATGTACGGTCCACACATGAATAAGGTGGATATATTCCCTATGTACGGTCCACACATGAGTAAGGTGGATATATTCCCTATGTACGGTCCACACATGAATAAGGTGGATATATTCCCTATGTACGGTCCACACATGAATAAGGTGGATATATTCCCTATGTACGGTCCACACATGAGTAAGGTGGATATATTCCCTATGTACGGTCCACACATGAGTAAGGTGGATATATTCCCTATGTACGTTCCACACATGAATAAGGTGGATATATTACCTGTGTACGGTCCACACATGAGTAAGGTGGATATATTCCCTATGTACGGTACACACATGAGTAAGGTGGATATATTCCGTATGTACGGTCCACACATGAGTAAGGTGGATATATTCCCTATGTACGGTCCACACATGAGTAAGGTGGATATATTCCCTATGTACGTTCCACACATGAGTAAGGTGGATATATTCCCTATGTACGGTCCAACACAAGGCGGGGCACTAGGTTGCTGACCTGTTCTAATTTATTGTGGCATTCCCAAATTTTATGTTATGCCGTTATTCAACATTTAGATACCCGACTATTTTATATGTTGTTATTTAGACGTATGCAAGACATATGGAAGATAAACATGTATTCAGGTTTATGTAAACACCAGTAAATATCTATAGCACGTGTTACACAAGCCTTCTCATGTCCTTTTGACTCAATAGGATGCAGAAAAGGACACTTTTAAAAGGAAAATGCAGACTTCAGGAATGACGTCCGTCTAGATTATATATAGTGTCGTTTTCCCCTGAAAAAAGCAAAATCCCTTTGATAGACTATAACACTGGTCCTACTTATCAAGAGTTCAAGGAAGTACACTGAAAAGTACGATCATGACAACTTAACATTGTTGCATCTTTAATCTCAATGCAGAATTATGTACACTATATTATATATACGTCTCTCTTATTGAAAATACACGTGGATTTGCAGTATAAATGTACATGCATGTCAAAATGATCACATACGTCTTAGGCATGTATGTAACTGATGCATTATATCTGATTGTTTGTTTGTTGTTTTACGTCCGCTTCACTATCCAGTAGTTCGGTAATCCAGAAGGCATTATATCTGTACCTCCGAGGGGTCATGCAATAAGTATGGTCAGTTATAGCGCTGCAATGCGTCTTATCCTGTGTGAGGTTTTGTTGACCTTTGTGCCCTTTGAAGGTTTTTATCGTGTTCCGGTCAGTGATGGTCAATTCATCAAGCCGGATGTATCTCGTTAACAGCTGGTCACTTCATACCCTTCCCCTGTCGGTTATAAGACATTGTGAATATATCACTTGATATATTCCCATGGGTGATATCCACTAAATCTAATATATACTGCTTGATTTATTCCCATGGGTAATATCCACTAAATCTAATATACTGCTTGATATATTCCCATGGGTAATATCCACTAAATCTAATATATACTGCTTGATATATTCCCATGGGTAATATCCACTAAATCGACATTGTACATAACATCTTTGGGATAATATCTACAAATACATTGTAATATAAGTGATTAGAAGTTTTAAATGAGATGCACATATAAACTACAATCATGTATTTACTGAAGGGGGAAAGAAACGCAGGGTAATTGTTTGTTACAATTTGAAGAATGGTACACTCGCTGTATAGGGTGTTGTGTATAACAAATTTATACGGTTGTAGAGACTCATCTTTCCTAAATCAACTACCAACATTTCATTAGTTATTGAACCAAAGTTGCTTAGGAATTGCAGTTCATAGGAAGGTATCCCAGTATTGGAAATAGAAATGTGCTGACACATTATCATATTATCAGGTATCTTAAAGTCGTTGAATTGCCCTGCAATTCAATCAAAAGTGATTTTACGCCGTGAGAGATTCATTCCCAGACCATGACTGATCCACTCCCAAATCTTAATATAATCCTCTTGATAACGCTCGTGACGACCAAGTGTTTCCCATGATGACGAAATACACGACGTCGACCGTCAGGACGAAAAAGCGTAAACCGGGACTCACCACTTGCGAAAAAACTCGTCTCCACTGCCTCATTGGAAATGTTCGAGGACTATGTGCCACCCTACAAGCCATACGACTAAAGGACAACGTATACAAATGAGGTGTGGACCGACGTATGGACAGCGTGCAGGAGTGAGGGGGTTGACCGACGTAAAGACGACGTACATGAGTGAGTGGTTGACCGACGTATGTACAGCGTGCAGGAGTGAGGGGGTTGACCGACGAAAAGACGACGTACATGAGTGAGTGGTTGACCGACATATGGACAGCGTGCAGGAGTGAGGTGTGGACCGATGTAAAGACGACGTACATGAGTGAGTGGTTGACCGACGTATGGACGCGTGTAGGAGTGAGGGGGTTGACCGACGTATGTACAGCGTGCAGGAGTGAGAGGGTTGACCGACCTAAAGACGACGTACATGAGTGAGTGGTTGACCGACGTATGTACAGCGTGCAGGAGTGAGGGGGTTGACCGACGTAAAGACGACGTACATGAGTGAGGGGTTGACCGACAACAATGCAGCGTACATGAGTGAGGGGTTGGCCGACATAAAGACGAGGTATTGGAGTTAGGGGTTGGCTGACTTAAGAACGACATACATGAGTGAAGGCTTGACCGACGTAATAACGGCGTTCAGTAGTGAGAGGTTGACCGACGTAAAGACGACGTTCATGAGTGAGGGTTTGACCAACGTAAGGACGACGTACATGAGGGAGGGCTTGACCGACATAAGGACGACGTACATGAGGGAGGGCTTGACCGACCTAGGACAGCGTACATGAGTGAGGGGTTGACCAACGTAAAGTCGGCGTACATGAGTGAGGGGTTGACCTACGTAAAGATGACATACATAAATGAGGGGTTGACCGTCGTAAGTGCAGCGTACATGAGTGAAGGGTTGACCTACGTAATAACGCCGTTTAGTAGTGAGAGGTCGACCGACGTAAAGACGACGTACATGAGTGAGAGTTTGACCTACGTAAAGATGACGTACATAAGGGAGAGGTTGACCGACGTATGTACAACGTACATGAGTGAGGAGTTGACCGATGTAAGTGCAGCGTACATGAGTGAAGGGTTGACCAATGTTAGGACAGTGTACAGGATTGAGGGTTTGACCGACGTAATAACGGCGTTCAGTAGTGAGAGGTTGATCGACGTAAAGACGACGTACATGAGTGAGGGGTTGACCGACGTTAGGACTGCGTTCACGAGTGAGGGGTTGACCACGTCAGGACGAAGTACAGGAGTGAGCGGTGGACGACGTAAGGACGACGTACAGGAGTTAGTGATTGACCGACGTAAGTACGACGTACAGGAGTTAGTGATTGACCGACGTAAGTACGACGTTCAGTCGCGAAGGGTTGACCGAA